CGAATCCATGATGTGGGCCCGCATACTGTCCAATATTGTGTCTGTCGAAGATCCGTCGTGTCGTCTGCTACTAGCTAAAACAAAATGGCGCTACACCTCTGGCTAAGATTGGCAGTATGGTCGCTCAGCTGTTGACCGGTCGACGCGCCGTCACGTGATTGTTCGGCGTTTGTTTTCGCACTGACCTTTCATAGTTCCCCCAAGAAACCCAGAGCCTAGCTGATGGGAAAGCCCTCCCGCTCCAGCATACGTCACTGCATGGGATTCCTTCCCCGGGGACTGCAATGCCGAAAAAAAAAAGTCAGCAGCTCTTCACTTGACGTTTATCCACAAACTGGTCCTGGATTAAGCTCCAAAGTTTTTATCAGTCAGATTCCACCGTGAAAAATGTCTGTTTTATCCCCTTTGAGTTTTTGGCCATTGACTCTCTTTAAATCGCTGCTTCCTGGTACAACAGTCGGCTCTGGAAGTGATCGCTTTTTTATTTTTTTTCCTTCTTTTTTTGAAGCGAGTGGTTGAAGCAAATGGAGCATAAGAGCCCCCTGGTGGCTGAAGAAAAAAAATCCACGTATAAGCCGCACCAGACTATAAGCCGCATGGTTCAAAGTTCAGGAAAAAAAGTTGCGGCTTATAGTTCGAAAAATACGGTATATGGTGGGGTGCCTTATTGGGTAGTTAGATTGCCTAAGGGGAAGGATAAATCCATGCGTCTTATTTGTGAGACTTASTGGTGGGGGATTCCGTATAAATAAAAATCCTTATGTAGAGATGAGATACGAGGGCATTGGGAAAAAATCCAGGAGTCAAACTCTTATTTCTATCCCTTTTTTTGTACTGTATGTATTGGCATGTTGTATGTTCTAGGAAAAGTTTTACGCTGTTAAGTAAAACATGGATGCAGTTTTTAGGTGGAGGGGTGACTGTTGAAAGGGCCTTGAGAGACAGACAGCTTACATGACATCTGTGTCAGCAGACTAAACCGTTAGAGAAACACCTTGAAATATAATAGTATAATAAGAATGTTGTGTCTCTAAAAAGACGTAGAGTACAAAGTAGCTGGAGAGCAGCTGAGATTGCACGCTTAAGACAAAACATTTCTGGCTGACTAAACCTTATCTATTTATTTATTGAATGGTTTCAGACAGGGTTTGAAAACTGAAATAGTAACAATCCAGCAGTACCTGTAACTTTCTGCTGTCTTTAMTTCTTCTTCTTCATGATTTAAAGAAAAGAAACAATAGTGATAACACTCGAACCTACCAATACATTGTGTTGGTTGTAAAAAAAAAAAAAGAGGTCAGCAGGGACATTGGCAATAGTTCTGAGTTAAATCTGATTGTTAGTTTACATWTGAAACTAGTAATTAAGCTTTGACTTTGAATTTATTAAKCTCTTCAGTAGTGATAACATTTTAAAGTCAACAATCTTTGGGGTAAAACAAGTTMGATCAAAAGGGAAAATCTGAACTCTCTCTCATCACCTAGGTGTTAAAAGATTAGTCAGCAGCCTTTGTCTAGAAAAAAAAGAATATATATAAATATATATATACACTGCTCAAAAAATAAAAGGGAACACTACTGCTCAAAAAATAAAGGGAACACTTAAGCAACRCACGCTAACTCCCGATCTTAATCAATGAAATATTCGCATTGAGTACTTTGTTCTGTACAGAGTTGAATGTGCTTCACAAAAGTTTGATTTACTTGGACTTAGCGTGCATTGTTTAAGTGTTCCCTTTATTTTTTGAGCAGTAGTGTTCCTTTTATTTTTTTGAGCAGTGTATATACAATATATATATATATATATATACACACACACACACACACACACCAATAAAATTTTCCGGTTGAGACCGGGTGTCAAAGTTATTTTTCCGTTTTAATCTTCCGAGCCGGTTCAACATGCAGCTGAACTCAGAAGTCTTTATTCCTACAAAATTTCTTGCTGCTAGGTCCGTCCGTCCGTCCGTTTTATTCCGCTTCCGTTAGGTCGTGGGTGTAGCAGTTTAAGCAGAGAGACCCAGACTTCCCTCTCCCCAGCCACTTGGGCCAGCTCATCTGGGGGAATCCCAAGGCGTTCCCAGGCCAGCCGAGAAACATAGTMCCTCCAGTGTGTTCTGCCTGGGTCTTCCGCTGGGTCTCCTCCCAGTGGGACGTGCCCGGAACACCTCACCARGGAGGCATCCAGGACGCATCCTAACCAGATGCCCGAGCCACCACAACTGGCTGTAGTTTTGGTCATAACAATTTATATCTTTCTGTGTTAGTTTTATTCAAGGACTAGAGTCTCYGATAAATATTTCAAGCTCCTCATAAACATGATGGAATAAAGTACCCCGCAGCGGCTAAACAACTGTTAGCACAGCTTAGGTGACCTTAAACACATCCACCGGTTTGTTTCTTTTTTTTTTCTCCAAACCACAAAAAATCCTCCACCTCCCTGACTGTCATCAGGCTGCAGCCAGACCACAGTTTCTTCGTTTTATATTTATCCATTGTGGCTCTGCTCCAAAAATTTTGTTTTGAACAGCTGATGAGACAGGCTATGATGGGTCTATGGTGCATTCATGACCAGAGAAAACTCGGATTTTTGAGCGTTAACCACACCGCATGCATGTTACTGGGTTGGCAGAGGTATGCACTTTACAAATGCTTCTAATTTCAAATTTATTCAATTCTTTGGTTTTTAAAGCTATGTTAGAAAAATAATTAGTACCCGCTGATGGAAATGATAACTTATCTGGATGTGTCCCGCCTTGCGATGTTGTTTCTGTGTGTCTGAGACGACTGTGTGTGTGAGGGTGCACCCGCGGTCAGCTGAGCTGCGGAGCAGAGTGTGGCGACAGTTTGAAAACGTTTGAGTAAAAATGTAACTAAGCAAAATATTGACATAGCAATTATATATTTGAGTTCAACAGGGTTMCATTCCSACCTAAAAACTTTCTACAAGTTAATTTTGTGACAAGGAAAAAGAGAAATATGAAAATGTTCTTACAGCTATTTCCTGCTTTCCATTCAGACAGTTTTCACCCGCAATGCATCATGGGATTGGGCAGGTGAAGGAGGACGATCTAAGCAGTGTTCTATGTCCAGACACCGCTTTTTCAGATAAAATGGAAGTCCGGAGGGGGTGGGTGCACTGATTAGTGGGCCTGATGGATAGCTCTTTACCAGAACTAAACAACCAAAAAAAAAAAAAAAAAACCTCAAGCTCCAATATTGAACAGTTTCTGAGTTATAAGCGTTTTTGCATGTCCACACATCCGCTCTTTGGATGAAGCCCCCTCCTCAAATATGTGGTCTAACAAAATATTAGAGAGTGTGACCTTTTTTTTGTGGCCAGGCAGTGTACAATGCTGCTGTCAAACATGAAGTGTAGATTCACCTTGAAATGGGCTGGAAGCCTGCTGAGCCAGAGCGAGGTGCTCCTCTGTTAGATGGTATATGGGCTGGTGTTGGTTGATCTCCACGCTGGTGCACACATTACTTTCACCGTGTAAGAAGAAGTTGAAGGCGCAGGACAGGTGCTCACTGCAAGGGAGAAAAAGGAGTGTCAGAATTTTCCAGGAGATTATCTGTACTTTAATATACATTATTGACACGATGATTAATACAAATCAAAGATTAGGTAGGGAGAGGAGTGATTCCAGCATCCAAAACAAAAGAAGCTCAGACTGTAGAGTTCACAATCCTGATCACTGATAAAGAAAACTAAGAAAAGACTAATGAAGGAAAGATAGAGAAGACATCTGCTCCGCTTCTTGAAATGCGTCTTTTTCAAAGGGTATATACATTATCATGATTTTCAGCTTCAGAAAAAAAAAMTAAGCTGCCAATCTGATTCAACAATATTTCTTTTGTCTGAGTCAAATAATTCTGATAGTTGGACAGTAAWAAGTACTTTCAACAGACCGTGATGAAATTGTGTTCTTAATGGACAACCCATGGAGTTGTGCCGTATTTACAGTATACACAGTCAATAAAACAATGCTTTACAGGTGGTTGTGAGGCTCGTTGAGAGCTTGTGTGCTTCTGGCTGCTTTGTGTGTGGCTCTGTGTGTAAAACAAAGGGGCAAGCCCTGACTAACCCTGGCATTCCAGCCAATAAGCTCAGCAACAAAACAGTACCTCTCTCACACACAACCACCCACACAGACATAAAAACACATACACACACACAGACAACAGCTCCACAGCTTACAACAATGCCTGTCCGTGCCAGTCTGACCTCAGCAGCAAACTAAGACACTACATAGGGAAATCAAGGATGAGCTAGGAGGATAGAGAGCAGTCGGGGGCCAAACGTAGCACATTGTCTGCAGGTTTTCCTCTCTCTGCTAGCACACACACACATACTCTCAGGAAAAGGTAGGAGACAGCACAAGTGACAAATGACTAAACCATAGTGAATGCAGTAAATCTGAGAGTGGAGGCTGCCATCCCTAAGGATTTGATTGAGCAAATATCAGTCCTTTCTCCCAAGTGTGGTGCTCTGAGGTTAGGGTTAGGGTCACACACCTCTGCAGAGGATTAAAGAGGAGCAGAGAAGAAGAGTGTTTTAAACAGAGACTGGATGGATAACAAAGCAAGCTTTAATAAAAAAAATAATCATACAACCCACGTACTTCAACTAAAAACGCTAACCTTCTCTCAGCTAGAGGAAAGTTAAAGGCAACCTATTATGGGGCTACACAAAACATGTTCATTTTATTTAATTCAAAAAAAGAATCTCAGATAATGAAATTTCACCTTTTCAGTCCTGCTTGTTCTTCAGCTCTCTTCAGAACATGCTGTTACGCATAAGATGCTATTGGCAACCCCCTCCCAACATTTTGTTTATGTTAACTCCGCACTCCCAACATGGTGTTCATTTTAGCGACTAGCAATCTGGAGACTCCTGCGCCACAGYGCGCYCCAGCACAAAACAGCAGAACTAACGTAGCTGTCCTGTGAAGAGATGGGTGGAGTCTCCGCTTGGGTTACCAGGTGAAGGGTTGGGGTGGGTTGGAGTATGGTTTGTGACGTCCCAAATGATTGGTGTTTGAAAACAGGTCATTTCAAGACACAAAAAATGCATTTACTTATACTAAAAATACCTCTGGGTGCATTTTTGTGGTGTGTAATAGAACTAATACTTTATGTTTAAGCTAGTTATTCATGACATCCTTTAATGACCTAGGTTTTCATGACATTCTGTTCATCTGCAGACAGAATGGCTGTGTCCAAAACG